TTAAAAAAAATATAAGAAGGCTCCTGTTTACCAGAAGATAATGAATAGATCGCGAACTTTCTTAAAAATGGTTCATATCGAATCTAGCGCTATCGTGTTGTATAACGTCCTGACTATCTGTTTTGGAAGATTATATTTAATTAATGGCTTCACACATCTGCTTGATACTAGGATCGCGTGTAAATGCATTTCTGGTTGATGCGAGAATGTATCATCAATATATTCATCGACCAACAATTCAGTGTTTATGATAGTTTTGAATTGTTCTTCCACCAAGAGATATTATACTTCTCTGTGATCAACATCAGCCCACCAAATAGAAGAGAGTAAAAATACTTCTTAATAATCACGACCTTATAGAACGCGTTATTATAGGCTGCGTTTCGGTTGCTTTTTGCTTTCCTTCACCCATCGTTCATGCTACTTATCGAGAATTGCACACGCTGTTTGTATTCCTTGTAAGTTTTATTTTCATACAACAGATTTTCTCTTTCTCATCCTGGCGTTATCGACTTGTTGTAGTTGGCCCTCAATATAGTTCGAGTCCAAAAAGTCAGTATTGCCATAATTAATGACCAATTATTTCATGTCCATCTGGTCTGAAAAAAATTACATGTTGTCTCTATGTCTTTAGAAATAGAAATATCGTTGAAGTCTGAATCATGGTTAGAGGTGAGTAAATCAATTGTAATGATGAAATATTTAGTTCCATCGGAATAGAGGAGTTGCACTGGAGATTATTGGATAGTAGCTTGAAATTCTATTTACCATGCACCTTTTGAAAAAGTTGCGTTTCTTCTAGACGAAGAGGGGAGGTGCAGGTCAGGTGAAGCAGTCGGGTCGCTTCCGCGGTAGTGTTTTGCGAAAATACTATGACGGATTCGCGACCTCAGCACCAGTCAAGTATCAGTTACTATTACGGGAAATTTATCATAATTGTCGCTATCTATCAGTGAGGCTCGAAGGGACAGTTACCGTCCTGGTAACATTGGTTTATGGCGGCCTATTTCTTCTTCCAATAACGGCCTAGAAACATATGTTCCTCACGGTAACAACTGTGGATTAGTCAATGACGGGAAGAACTCAAAAATTGAATTGCCAGCAAGTGGAGGAGGGAAAACCTTTTTTATAACACGGAACGATGGCTGCTATTATTTTGTGGGGTACGCTTTATTTGTCATTATATGTTAATACAGATGGTCTAGCGAATGGATGTTGTCCAATGCACCAAGGAATCAACATCACAGAGAAAAGCAAAAAGAATGAATTCGTCTGTAATCATCCTAATGTCATCTTCGATTAAACAGAAAATCGATCTCATGCTTGTCGCTTGATGAATCAAGAGAGTTTTACAGTTTATGCGTTGCTGGAAATTGGATTTGTAAGATAACAAGATAACTGAAACCAAGGATGGTCCTCTTTTACTGAAACAAGAAGCAGAGGGTCTTTCAATGCAAGCCACTTACGATGCTCCCATCCAACATCAGCATTAAGATCTTTTATGATGTCAATATTAGAAGGATTCTGAATACTTGAAATGACATTTATTAGCTGATCTTATAATGTTTCTGCTTTGAGAAAACAACACTCAAAACAACAGAATTTCTACTGGAAAATACCAAGTTACAGTCACTGTTGGACTTTGGAAGAGATGACAATTGTCTTGCAATTTTAAGTATTATATCGAACCCAATGACAGATTTTTAACTTAGCAGAGAAAGTAATAGTGTACCCATCAGACACTTCCTTAATTTGAAAGGCAGCAGGACGGTGGGTTTAACTATGACTATATTATACGTAGTAATGGTGACAGTTCTCGTTTCTCCTACATTCAAGTATCTAAGAATGAGATAGGTGTGGTTCCTGTGAATGTTAAATAACTAGGAGGTCTTTTTAATATAAAAATATTAAGAATTTAAATCTAAGATAAGATTGTTAAAAATAGAAATAATTGATTTTCTTCTAACAATAAAATTTTCAATGAAAATTAAAAAAAAACTTATAAAGAGGCACTTAAAAAGAGTGTCTTAAAACAAACATTATTTTACCAAGAATCATTAAAACATAATAAAATGAATAGAACCAAATGCAGAAAAAGTAAAGTAATATTTTTTAACTCCCAAAACTTCTGCCAACTATCAAACATGAATATTGTAAATACTTACTTAAACTGATCTATAAATATTTTAATCAGAACAAACCGCTACAAAAAAATTTAATAGAAAAAATTTAAAATCAATTATTCTTGCAAGAAGAATCATTATAATATTATTGATACACACAATAATAATATACTGCATTAATTTTATAACAACAGCCAAATAAATAATAAGACCATTTACAATTGTAGAACCAAAAGCAGTTGTCCAGTTGGAGGTATATGTAAATCTTAAAATGTTGTATACCAGCAACCATACCCGCAAAAGAAAAAGGATAACAAAGTTTTCCTCGGAATTTCTGTTCGAAATAGAAAACAGAGTTTTTATAACCAGAAACGTTC